GAGCATGTATTTACGTGGTCACAAGAATTACTGTTTTAAACATTATAAATTGAGTATGAACTTACAATTTTTGCCTGTTGTGTATTTAGGAGGTTGAAAAAAGAAAACAAATACAGCAGCTAATACTGAGTGGGAAAATCTTGCTGGACAAGGTAACAAAATTATTAACAAGAGAATCCAAAGCAACCATCGTTTTCAACCTGTCATAACCTACAACCCCTTTTCACTACCCTCTACCCCTGAATAATCCTTGAGAAAAGCGTGGCTTCCAAGTGACACAGGACATATTGATCATTTATGGGCTTGTAACTTCATATTTCACACCATTCTCAGACCCTGAAAGGATGATTTGCAACAACTATAATATGTAGTGCTGGAACTATGTTGCAACAATTTGAATCAAAGTTGCAATGCTATGTTGCGCTAAAAATAATCATTTATTTGTGAATCGTCCAATCTGTTACAGGTCAAATTCGATTTCAGGTTTAAAAAATTTTTTTTACCTAGGTTGATCTTTCAGGGAGCAATAATTATTTATATTGTCTCTTAGGGCTAGTGTAGACAAAGAAAATTGAAAGTCAGCTGAGGTTAAATCTTTCAAAATTAACCTGAAATCAAATTTAGACTGTAACAAATGTAACATCACCTTAAGATGAAGTGAATGTCTATCATAGAGAGATCTGACCCCTTAGTGAGAGTCAAAAGGAATGACTTAAGGTAAGAAAGGGAAATCACTGAACTCTTAGTTGCAATTTTTGGCAAGTGTTTGACTTACGTAGGCATGATCTGCTAAGAGATCTAGAGAGTTTATGGTAACTTGTAACCTTATAATCCCTTTTCAATTTTTTTTTTCAGGAAACTATTGAAAAACACTTAAATGCTGGCAAAAGTGGAAGTGATTCTAGTTCTCTCTCATCATCATCAAGCCAGCTACAGTTAGATGGAGATAATTCCTTATTTGATTTAAATAGTGGAAATGCATGTTCAAAGGCCCCTGTTGGATACTCTCAGTTGCAAGACCACATAAAAACTGAGGCCACGCAAAACAGTCTTGAAAACTGCATACAGAAATTGGATATTGTTGACGACAACAAAGGGGCAATCAATGATATGATTCCCCCAAGATTCCAAAACAGTAAATGGGAAAAGAACTTCAAAAAGCAGAAAAGTAGACCATGGGTCAATAAGCAAAAACAGACTTATAGTAAAAGCAATAAAAAAGAGGAAAGCAATAGACAGAAGAGTTGGGGTGATGAGTCAACACCACAACAGGAACTTAGACCGTCAGGGTCTAGCATTCAAAATCAAGCTTCAAGTTTTGATCCCTGGCGTGAGTGGGAGGCATCGGTCGTTGTGGATGGACGGATTGAGGATGAATATTTAGAAGACATTGTAGTTGTTGATGATAATGACAACCTGGATGATGTGATGGTTCAACAGTACGTGAATGCACTGCATCAAGAGACAAATGGCACTGCTGCAAAGCCTACAACCTCCAAAGTGACTCCCAGTCTCATTCAAGAACTAGGTAACCTTAAGTCAACAACAAATGCTGATTCTTACAAAATGCCAGCAGGAACAATTCCTAACCCTCCCAAAGGCCCTGATCGCTGGGGTGGTGTTGAACTTAAAGGTATTGAGGAGCCCACTGGCTGGGGTGATATTGTAGAAGATTCAGGGAACTGGTATGATGATGGATCAATGATGTGGGGAGCTCCGTCAGTGCCATATGGAGCTAACGGTGGATGGAGTTGGAACAGTTAAACAAAGAACCATAGTAGTGCATCAACCTTTTTCTTTTTTCTGCTCGGGGCAACTTCTTGCTCGTCTTTTAATGGATGACTTGTTTGAACCATAATTGCTCATTGGGCAAGTGGGCTTTAAAAACGTGCCCAGCAAGAATATTTACTTACAAGTCCTGCACAACTAGACCAGACATTTTTCTAACCCTGCCTGTACACTTTACCCAGTCCTGAAAAAAAGAAATTTGCAACATTGTTTGGAGGGGGGAGGGGAGGGCCATTAGAGATATCCAAATTATTGCAAATTAAAATGGATCTTATGCTGCATTTATATATTTGATATGTTTCCTTTGTTGAAGGAAGATTTTAAATAACTGTCCCAAGGGAGTTTTGGCCTCCATTGTATGTTAATGATGTGTTAATACTAGTTGCAAGCAGAATTTTGTTAAAATAATGACAGTGGAGGTATCATGCCTGAGCGGGGCCCCATACCTAAGAAAATTCGGTAATCTGCCCATCTGAGAAGTTTTCATGGTAATCACGTGACCGTATGCCTGTCCTTCCTCACCATAGGGAAACCAATTGGAAATGTGAAACTTTCTAGCTAGTGTGGGAGCCTGTAGCGTGTGTTTAACTTGATAATAGACATGCATATTATGGTCAATTTATTGACAGCTGTCAAAACAGGGTTTCCATTGACCAGTGAAATGACCAGGATTAACTATAGAATTAAATATTTATGTTAAACATTGTAAGAATTCAGTCCTCTTCCTCCCCCAAATTGATTTTTGGGCACACCTCAGGGACTTAGGCTTCAGATACCTGATACCTGATTTACCTTATAGCCTGGCAGGTTTCAGTCTGCGAAGAAGAAAAGGGTTAAGTTTGAGGGCAGAATTTAGCAGAATAAACTATTATTATAATAGGAGATGGTTGATGATATTTTTTAATTTATAGTTCAGCAACTTTTCAACTTTGTGTCAGGTTTTTTTCATTTGAGCCAGTTTTAAAATTTGCCATCAAAAATGCTGGATAAAAATCTACATATACCGTTTTTGCCTTGTGGTTTCCTAGTTAAGGAGGTTACACAAACTACCCGTAGGTGAAAAATTCTAAATATTTTGGGACTGTGAATAAAAAAAATTAATGAAAATATCATGGGGAAATATTAAAGATCAGTTTCTCATAGCTGCATGGCAATATAACTTCAAGTATACATAAAGGACTGTTTTTTGTTTTTAACAAAGCATTTGGCTTTTCATTTTTGTGTCAGTCCCTAACAAAAAAAGAAACAATTATGGTGAAACAAAATTTTAGGATGAACAAACTAACTGTGGGGACAGTCCCTAACAAAAAAAGAAACAATTCTGGTGAAACAAAATTTTAGGATCAACAAACTAACAGAGGGGACCTAGAGGAAATGATTTTAGAGTGTGTTAGTTTCACTGTTTGACTCTAGTAGTTAACCTTTTTAAGTCCTAATATAATAACAAAGTGCATTTTCTCTGCATCATACTATGTATATTTTAAAGTGGAGAGGGTTTGTGTGCAGATGACGGCATATTAGCTCTGTCATTTTACCATTCCAATAAAGACTGTGTGAAGAAACGGGCAACGAGACATTTGAAATCATTGTTTGAACATTGTTAATCATTAAAAACGTTTCCTTGAGGGTAATTATTACCTTTGGGGAAATGTTTTTCTTGTTTAAGTGGAGAAGGGTGACAATAATATTTTCTAAAATGTGAGGCTTATTATGAAACTAAAGGCCATTGCCTAGCCACATTGTCTGTTTCTTTGTTTAAACTTTCTTTTTTAGCCAGTAAAACCTTACTCTGTTCCTTGCAGAAATCTTTTCAGACTAATCTTACAGGAAATAGTAACTTGTAATCCAAGATTATGCTGAACGAACTGTTGGTTTTTTAAATTTTTTCTGTAAGTTTTCTATTTCCTTGTTCCAAAGAGAATTTTTGAAAATTAGTTACTGCCATCCGTGCATTGTAAAAATAGAAATAAATTAGAAAAATAACATTATTTTTGTAGCTTAATATTATTGTCATGGCTGTAGGATTTTACTTTTTAAAATAAAGATACCTGGAAGGACAATTTTATGGAGTGTATTTTGATACTGTGATCATAGTCGAGGAGACTAATTATGAAAGAGGGCAAACATCCAAGATAAAGTTTATGTTGGGAGCTCTGAGACGGTGCACAATCTTTTATTTTCTGTTCACAAATTGTGACTGAATAAATTAAAGCGACGTTTTTATTTGTCAATTCGATGAAACTGGTAGGAATTCTAGAAAAATTAAGCAAATTCCAGAGGGTATGGGGGGAGGGGGGGGGGTATGACAAGCAACCCCTAGAATGAAAACTCCAGGGGGTGGGGGTCTAAGGCAAAAGTGCCCTCCATGGGAGGAGGGTATGGATATTTTCTGGAACTACACATTGAACGTTGTGCACCGTCAAGTCCACAAAAGCAAAACAAAGGAGTCTTACGCGCTTCAAAATCATTCCGCTCTATTACAGGGTTCGCAGAGTCTTGAAAAGTCCTTGAGTTTTAGTTTGGGTCCTTGAATTTCATCTTTCCTTCAAAATTACTTGAATTTCTTGAGCTTGAAAGCAAATTTCTTTTGTGAGACGTTGGTATTCTTTTCCTGTTTTAAGCAGTTTATAAAGAGACACTGAAAGGCAAAGTAATCCAATTCAAAATTCAATCAAACGTGTATGTGTCTTAATGCTCCTGCGTATGTTACATGTATTTTTATTACGAGTTCTATGTTTCATTGGCTTCTTCGGCAAATAATGCCGGAAAGTGCTCTTTTAATGCCTGTTGGTTTTTGACCAAAACAATAAAATATAGAAAAAAAGATGGGGCAAACGCTTGAAGCCTTAAAATTCCCTTAGCTTACACTGAGAATGTGCATTTATGGACCATCTGTGAAATTACATTCCGGGTAGTTGGTCCTTGAAAATTCGATGTGGTCCTTGAAAATTGGTTGCAGTTTTTTTTTGTATGAACCCTGTGTTAATAACCATGCTGTGATACATAATATTTATCCACTCTCGTTTCGTGGTTTAAGCCATCGTAAGACGGGCAACAAAAACGTGCAAAAGTGTTTTGTAACATTACTGCAAAACCGTTAGTTAAAAAGCTATCAAATAATGAATATAAATTATGAAAATCATATATAGGAACTAGGGGTAAAGAAGAGACTGATAAATTTAAGATCATTGCAGTTTTAGACGCATCTTTTAGGAAGCCTGAAAAAATGCAAGCTTTTACGGGATTCAAACCTTTTACCTCTGTGATTCTGGTTTAGTCCTCTACCTTTTGAGCAACAAGTCAAATGAAGACAAGTCATTGGACCTCATTGAGTCGGTTCGTTATACATACATACATACATACATACATAAAACTTCATTAATGTGTCTTGGAATGTCTAGCCGATGGGGTTAAGAACCCCTCTACTAATTGGGGACACCTAACAATATAATATAGTTAAAAACCTACTAACTATCAACTAATGAAATAATTGATTTAAAAAGATTAAACTATCATTACACCTAGATCAAATTTACGAATACAATTTTTGAAACTAAATAATGATGGGAGAGTTCTGATTTCGCTTGGTAGCTTATTCCACAACTTTGGTCCCAGGTAGGTGAGCGAGTGTTTACCACATTTATTGGTCCTAAATCTGGGAATGGCGAACTCTGCCGTCCTCAAGTTGTAGGGTGAGCAATGCGCGTGGAATAGCTCGGATATTTTGATGGGGCATAGTTTGTGTTTCACCTTATACATATCTAAGGATAGAAATATCTTGCAGTCTTCTGTTCTGAAGAGTCGTTAGGCCACTTTTGTCCAGCAATGCTTGGTAGCTTGATTGCTTATCTAGGAAAACTAGAACCCATCAAAGGATGACCATAAGATAATGAATGTATGAAACTTAGTAAAATATAGGAACTGCTGAGTGATGAATCAGTGAATAAATGAAGATCATTGCAGGTTTTAGTGGTTATAGATGTAACTTTTGCAGGTGCGAAAAGAAAGGCTGAAAAAGTCCAGGCTACATATTCAGGATACATTTTGCCGCAAAAGTCAGGCAGAACAATGATAAAAATTAAGAAAGTAATAAAATAATAATTTCCTGTACTCAGAACACCATGAAAAAAATTGAAAAGTGGAATGTTTCATTCACACCAACTAATAAACTTCTTCAGTCGCAATTAAAATGAGAATGTTAGGAAGGAATATTTCCCCGTAAGCCCCTCTATCCCACTCTTGTTCACTGTCATTAGAAGGGCCCAATGAATTGGCCCAGGTGCTGAGCTTCCAGGACTATTCAATGTTCATGAAAATCTGACGAGTTCCTCCGGATAAGCGTTCCTTAATTCAGGATTCTACATCTTTTTTCCTTCATTACCAAGCTTAACAGTTAAGCTGAGGAAGCAATTATTTTTTATGGCGTAGTCAAAAAGGAGTTCATTATTAACACTTAAACAAAGTAATAATTTAATGATAATTTTCTGTACTCAGAACAGCATAAAATAGCTCAAAGGTAGTTATTCCATTCAACACATCAACTGAAATTCATCAGCCACAATAAAAACTTTAAGAAGGAATAAATCACGCTCATTAGGGTCTCGAAAGGACTGAAATAGTGTCATAGACGTCAGCTATTTCGAAGCAATTGTCTCTATTAATGTCTCCCACTCTTTTGCAGCGTTTTCAAAGAACACGTCACGTAAACGAGAAGGCAGCATTTTCAGCAACCTCCACTCTAAAGTAGGTTGACTTTGATCGTCCGGGTGAACGTAGTCCTGAATAGGACTGTTGTTGTTGACAGTGACTAATCTCCTCTCTGTCGGAGACCATGTTTGAAAACCTGCGTTTTTAGTTCCCGAAAACGCCGTTTATGTCTGTACGGAGGGCTTAAAATGAGAAAAATAAAAGAGAAGCTTCTTTTTGCAATTGTTGGAAGACAGGTTTGATTTGTTGGTGGTAAAATGTGCAATATCGCTTTTCAACTCGTGTTTCACCAAAGTTACGAAACAAGTAGCTTTGTTTTACCGCACTTTCAACAGGAACATTTTTTCGTGATTTGTGGTGCGTCAGTTATATTGGGGAAGGGGGGCAAAAGGAGATACTGCACAAGAGACAGTCTCCAGATTTAGGAACTCTGGAGGTTGAATCTATAGAGATCTGTAGCATAGAGATAGGGATAGCAAGAAAAAAAGAAAAAAGTCACAACAGAAGTCATGGATTTTCTTCAAACTTGATATTAATCACTTTTATTTACCAAAACTACAACTGTACAAATAAGTATTTATATGTGATGATATTCATTTATTATAATAAATCAGGGCTGAAATAAGTCCTGTCCAGTTTCTTTTTAAGGAAGCACCCTTTGATACTCACTTGGGTTGTTTGTAGCCTGCGAAAACAGACATTTCTCCTCGCTCATGGCGAAGAGCAAGGAGAAACGGCTGTTTTCGCAGGCTAGGTTGTTTGTTTGTGTTGCGGAAACCATCCTTTGTTAGCTTTTGTGTTGAGGTGTGGATATTGTTCAGTGTCCTTTTCATCTGTTGTATTACGTCATTTGGCGATTGCACCCCAACCTCAGCTCCGTAGGGCGGGTTGGAGAGAACCCTGGGAACGACTTTGATTGCACCCATCTTGAACACGTCAAAAAAGACTTCCCCTTAATTTTTGCTTGTCTAGTAGTGCAGTTGCATGCTTCTTTAGTTTACCTTTTAGTTACTACAGATTGCCTTGCCCTGGACCCTCGCCCAAAAAGCGAGTAAGGGTAGTTTCTTGGTACTGCAGAATTAAGGGCTGCTTGTCCTAAGGGCAAGTAAAAATTCACGCTTTTTTTAAAGCCTTGCAGTATGAAAGTTCCTGTTAAATTGATTGTATTTACATACCATTACTACAAAACAGTGCCTACTAGTATAACGTTACATCTAAGAGAAAAAAACAGATCGCCCTGATTTCTATCTGTGATGTTTTTGTTGGCTTAGAGCCAATTTCTGTCTGCGTCGATTCTGTGCTTCACGCTTTTTTTTCTCAATTTCCTCTTTTGAGTATCTTGTTGGTTTAGTAGTTACCGCGCCACCTGAGATGGAAAAAGAAAAGAAAGGAGAAATTTCTTGTATGAGAAGCTTTCAAATCTCGCTTTTTGAAGCAACGCTAAAATTAATAAATATTCAATCACGTTTATTTCCTTTGTTTTCAAGATAAAGTTACATTTTTTCCTTTCAAACAACTCTGAATTCAATGCTGAGTTATTGGCCGAATTTAAACTAAAGACAAATTATCTGTCTCAGACGGATAAATCATCTACTAGATATAACTAATTAGGTGTTTAGACGAATCTTGGCCCCAAATTGGCCTCGTGTGTCAGCACGTCTGTATTAAAGACTTGCTACAGACGAATCACGTGAAGACGAATTTGAGGCTAAAATTCGTTTGAACACCCGATTTATGTCTAGAAGATTTATTCATCTCTAATAACTTGTCTTAGACGGATAATTCTTCTCTAGTTTAAAATTCTGGCATTGAAACTTTGTTTTTACCATAATTTAACAAACTGAATTTAGCACTTAAGATCTAAATTGCAACTGTGCCATTGGAAAGGACACTTAATCCTGTTCAAAAGTCTTCCGTTTAATTTCAGATTCAATTCAATTTGTTTTTTCCTCACAATGTATTAGCACGTACTAGCCTGAAAAAATTCTGGATGGGCAGGATTGATGACATTTCTTCTGTAATTTGAATAACTCAAAAAATTTCACTTGACCATTGTGCAAGTTAAGAACACAGGCTGATTGCAAACTGACCTATCGGACACCCTTTTCTTTGCACACCGACATGTAATAGTATCCATGCATTGTTCAGTAACAAACCGTTTTCAAATTAATATTTGACTGAGCATTTCATTAATTTAAGAGAGTTTCATGAAAAAAATTTCTTCGACCTTGTCGTAGCCTGTAAACAAAACAAATTTCCTTCCACTCTTCTCAACATTTTTCCTCCATGAACATGTTGTACCTTTACAAGCCATTTAAAACTTTGATGGCCATTCATTGTTGGCATTTTTGCTAGCAGTTCAGATGACAAACAACTCATTGAAAGGTTTAAGGATTCCTGTTTTGAAAAGTACAGTACAGAAATCATTTAGACTGTGCTCATATTCTTGACATAAGAGGCCAAACTACATCTACCATTGTTTTTCCTGTGCAAGAGTCTCTACTTTACAGGAAACAAGAATACTATGAAATGATGACCACTTTATACATCTTCAAACAAGAATCACTGTTCACAAATATACTATAAAATAAATTAATACTTACTTTGTATGTTCATTTGCCCATAACTGTCCTTCTGTCTGCTAGCATCTCCTTCTGCTAAATTTTTCTCATTGATTTTGTGACAATCCTTCTCTGCTTTTACAGCTTTGAAGTTGTCATTTGATGATGTAAGACTGTTACTGCTGTTTATCAGCTGCTCTGATCTTGCAGAAACAGTTCCCTGTATCGAAGAACGTGGTATAAAAGTGAAGGTCCGCTTTTGTGAGAAGTTTTGATCTGTAACTAAATTCTTTTGAAATGCAGACAAATTTTCCTTTGATCCTTTAGCAACAGGAGCTGTTTGTCTTGGTTCATTGAAATCACCAATTTTGCAAGTACCTTTACGAACCAAACTTGGCTTCACATGCAAATTTGACAGCCTACGCACATTTGGAATAGACACTTGTTGTGACTTTTCGAAATCCTCTAGTGCACTCTGTAGAATGTTTTCATCATCACTATCATCAAATGTATCGATGAAATCCCAACTTTCTGTAACTATGCTTTCATTTGAGCTTGCATGAGATGCTGAATGGTTCTCGTTCAACAGTGTCTTTTGGGTATCTTTTCCGTTGTCAAGGAACTGGGTATTGGTCATAATTTGAGTCTCTGGAATGTTCTTGTTAAAGGATGGAATTTCCATCTGGCTAAGTAAGATATCATCTTCATCTGTATCCCACACATCAAAGAAATCGCCACCACCAACTGACAAACAACTGTTAGCAGGGTAGCCAGAAGTACACTTTGCTTTAATTTCAGGGTGGTTTAACACATCTGCCTCTTGATTTAAGTTTTGTTGTTTGTCACTGAAAGAGAATCAACAACACACCAAGTTACATGAAGTGCAAAGTAATTCAGTTTAACTTTCAAAAATATTTCTGTGTACTTGTCCATGTCCGTGATTTGAGAGTTCTCAAAAGTCGTCACTGGTAATTTATCAGCTTGGGAACTGCAATTTACATTAAAATCAAAATTTAAGAACGAAAAGCACCCCACATTTAGCGAACAAACCTGTCCACATTGTTGTCCAACTTCTGCAAAGCCTGGAAAGCTGGTTTGTAGTCTATGTAGACTGAGTTTAATTAATAGCCAGTAATAATAACAAAGCTATCAGGAACCCCTTGATTATTTAGGTTTAGTTTTTAAGTAATAATTAAATGGTTTCAGGCCCTGGTTCCACTAGCCTTATGTTTATTTGCCAAAAGTGTCTGGCAGTTGTTCAGAAGACACTTGGGTTTCTTCTGAAAGATGCCTTTAATATTGCCAAGGAAGTGATTTCCGGTACCTTGACTCTTGAATGGTTCCTTTGTCTGAAACTGACGATTCCTCTTCTGCAGAAAAAAAACAAAAAAACATTTACCTTTGTCAACAATGGGACAACGGTGGTACATCCTTACAAAAACTGACAAGAGCATGGTAAACATTGTTGTTAAAACCACACACAACTGAGACATCAAGACTGTAAACGATTTACAGAAAAAGCCTTCTAAAACAAAACAAACAAATTGTACCAATTATACAACAAAAAGCTGTGCCAAATTTTTGTTACATAGAATTTATCAGCAATCAGAGAAATGAAATCTTTCCTCCAGTTCCTATCTCTTTTTTTTTCCTGTAAGTTGACACCTATTGTATGCTGAAATGAATACTTACTTAGTCCCATGGGTGTCTAATTTATTAATTATCTCTTAGCTACACACTCTAAACTTGATTGGCCAATTTAGCGTACATCGATAGTGTAACTACAAAAATGCCCTGATTAACTTGAGCGGGCCCCATTTTTTCAAACATTAAGGTGGATAGTGCTATCGATAATGCAATTGGTTTCCATCTGATACTACTTATCCGCTGGAAAGTGATTTATCCCATGGATAGCGCTATCCAATGTTTGAACAATGCGGGTGCCAGCTGCAGTGCTCAAAAGTTCTTAGATTAGTAGACACATGATTCATTGACAACAGAAGAAAATGTCAAATCCCTGGTTTCTTCAGTCCATACCTGTCTTTTCCACAGGATGAATAAGTAATTCAATGTCTTGCTTCAGCAGTTTCATCTTTGACTTATTGCATTTTCTAACAACTCTTCTGTAAAAGAGTGAATTTATATCCACGATGATAATATCATTACGATGTTAAATGTATGGGGACTTGTGTTGCTTGGATACTCGGTATGACTCAAAATATGTGTGGTTATACTGTTGGTTTTCTCCTATTCTGTGCAACTACAGTAAATGGCAGAGGTTTGTCCAAGCAACATGCTCTATAATTTAAATTTGAGATTAATATTATTGTTTAACTTCCTTGAACAAATTCTTAGGAGGAGTTGTGGGTAGCAGGGGGTGGGGGTTGGCAGAGACAAAATGTTACAAGATGACTAATACAATGTCTACACATGAAATTACATTTTTCAGTGTGTTTATTTCAATGTAGTAGTGGTTTTGTCACTGCAAAAAGTCTCTGTTACATGTTCCTATGAGTGAACTATTCATTTTTAACACTGCTTCATGTTGCTGCAACTCATATCCTGGTTTAAGAGAGTACTATTATTGACAAACCTCGGTCTTCTGGATGGTGTTTGAAACTCCTTTGTGCTCTTCTGTTTTGTGACATTCTCTTTCTTATCAGCTGTATCATTGCTACTTTTTGGTAAAGTTGTTGTGTTATCTCTAGACATCCAAAATGCAAGTAACGGTGGATTGGCCTCTGGGGTATGACCAGACTGAAAACAAATAAGATAGATGTTAAATTTAATCAAAGATGGAAAAATTTTGAAGAAAATTCTTAAATGACAGTAATTTGCTATTAAAAACCCTTCTGGCCCTTGTTGTTCAAAAGTTTGATTGTGCTATCTACCAGATAAATCTCTATCCAACAGATCAGTAAGAGGGAAGCTAATTGCGCTATCCACTGGATAGAGATTTATTTATACAATGATTTGAATACTATGCACGCCTTGATTGGTCATTGCCTGTGATTTATTAGAGTACAGATACATGGATAACGTCATGGGAAACTTGTTTTCTTTGTTTTGCTCAATGTGGCGCACAGTTTTGAAAATGTTTGTGAGATTATTTCAGAGTAGTGAAAGCCTTGAAAAAAGTTTAGCAGTAGCTACTTCTAAAGAAGAAAAAGGGAGAAACAGAAACAAAACGAGTTCTTGCCAACTTGAGAATACCTTAACTGCAAGAAATTACCACAACAGTTGCCATCATGTGTCATCGCTATGAGAGGCTCACAGTTTTGCAAAATGCTTTTGTGATTATTCTGCTTTGAGCAAGTGAAGGCATTGGAAAACTTTTCAGAGAAACTGTATACAAGTAAAGATGAAGAAAAAAAGAAGAAGCAGAGATGAAAAGTGGTGTTTGGGACTTAAAAGGGCCTTAACTAGCACAAATCCTTAAACAGACAAGCAGTACAAGGAAAGTATGTGTACGTTGTTTTTTCCTCACTTTTCATTTTATAAAACAAATAGATTCCATGTTGCCATGGGTCTGGTCAGTAACAGATCACAAAAGACGTCAAAATGTGGTAAAAACATCAATGGCACACTCATCTACGGCTCTTGCCTGTGTGCAGACGTCTCCTATTTCCTTTGTTGCACATGGAAAAGGGACGCCTGCATAACGCCATTGCTAATCGTGTTCCAGCGTCCCGCTGGGTTCCCAAGATCTTGGGAACATGCTGTGATAGGCTGACACACAGTGCGCATTGTTTGACTCAACGCTGATTAGTTGCTATCGAATCTGGTCTGATAATGCATGCTGTGATTTATGTAATCGGGGTTTTCCAGCCAAAACAAATCAAAACATGTGCCATTGTGTGCAGACCGTTGCAAATCTTGTGCGAGGCCACGGAAAAGTTAATGTGTGTGACGAAATTATTTCTTTACAGTTTACTGTGTATGACACATCACATCATATTTGTAAACAGTGTCTGAGAAAACTACAAAAGCGGCGTAGACTTCGCACCAGGCAGGCATTTTGGAGAAAGCCAGCCAAAGAAACTAAAATCTTTATTTAGCCGTAACAAAGAGAGGTCGAAAAAAAATTTAAACACTTTACAACTGCATCTGAAATCAAATCCTATCAGGAACACCCACAGAAGCATAAACCACAGGAAATGATTACTCAGTATGCATGTAACAAACCTGCTTCATGACCTCTAAATGTAAGACTTAGTGTGGCAAAAAAGAGATTTACTCAGTCAAAGTTTAGAATGCTACATGCACTGTGTAGTGCTAGTAACCTTCATACGAGAGAGAAAAGAAGAAAAACCTCTGTTCAAGCAGACTCTTAAGGTCACGTTTCGCATTATCAGGAGCATATGATGTTGTGTTTGGCCTGTCAACTCTTATTTCTAACCGGATATTATTTCACAATTTATGCGAAATAGAATACCCTGCCAGCCGGACGCTAGAACATGATTAGCGACGGCGTTACGCAGACGTCCCTTTTCCGCGTGTAACAAAGGAAATAGGAGATTTCTGCACACAGGCAACTACGGCTCATGTGCCACTTCTTTGCTTTTACTACATTTTGACGTCATCTGTGATCTGTTATTGAACAGACGCACGGCAACATGGAATCTATTTGTTAACCAGTGGATAGTGTTATCTACTGGGGCCAGTATAGTCTGCTACACAGCCGTTTTTAGAGTCGTCACGTAACGGTCCTCCCCACTAATGGCTGCTGAAAACCGAACTACATTCCTTTCCCATGATTAGCCAATTATAATTCAGCTCTTATTTTCTGGAAGGTGTTCGCCCCAAGTTTGCGGTACTGTGACTCCTCCAATCACAGCTTTGCTTTTATCAGTGCCCCATGTGTGAATGACAGAATAATCAAAATCGTTGCGTGAAAACAAGCAATTAACTACAGTAGTGTTGTCGTAGTCGAATCCTATTCAAAATTTAGGAGATAAGCAGCAGCAGCAAGCAAGTCGAGCAAACTGTGATGCACAACATGGATGTGCTCATAAAGTTGCCAGGTATAGTTTCGGGAAATCGCTCATCGATAATTTATAAGATTGCTTTTTGAATCAGTACCCTGGAGAGTTTAGTCTTCACAGAACACAATGAGCGCTTTCGGCACATTAAATTCTTCACTACCTATCACTACATATACCGATCCTGGTAAAAGTCTTCCAGGCCTATCAAACCTTTTTTTCACTTGGAACTTTCTTGACCGCTTAAAACAAACTTTTTTGCATATTAACCTTTTCCTTGCCTGAAAACACAGGGCCCATCTAAATTCAGCGACGATTGATTGATTTGTCGAAAACTGAGAAGCGTGCTCGCCTCCTAGCGCCCTGCGGCTCATGTATTGTCAAATCTCTTATACATGATTGGCTTGTTCGTTAGACCACAAACACAAAGGGAAAGGAATTAGTTTGGTTTTCAGCGGCCGTTTGTGGGGAGGAGCGTTGCGTGACGACACTAAAAACGGCTGTGTAGCAGACTAGGGCCAGTAGGGTATAGAGTTGAACCTCCACAATGGCCAAGTGAATAATGTAGATGTCATCACAGTAAGCAAAAACTCAATTATTTTGTACATTTTGCAAACTAAAATCATGGTCTTGATTTGAGAGAATAAAGGAACTTGACTGTGATTACTTGTATTGGCAAATTTTATTTGTTTGCCCCCTGAAATACCAGGATGTGACATTGCTTTTATCATATCAATCCTGATGTGCATGCAGAGATGGTGGGTACATGAATAAGGTCTATTTGTTTCATCACCACGTATCACAAGGTCTCGGGAGGCACCTACCTTATCTGCCAGCTTCTGCACTAGATCTGAAATTTCACCACCACTGCTGCTGCTGTCACTTCCATAATGTTTTTTCCTTTTACCTGATTGAAACAATGTCAAAAAATTAATAGCTGCTACAACCAGCCCATTACAAGTCTCACTATGTTCCTTTGCAAATAATGTGGAACTTCAGGCCATGGTTGTTCAAATATTGGATATCTACCAGATAAATAACTATTAAACTATCAAGCAGATAAGTATTAGGGAAACCTATATAGCATTATCCACTGGATAAAAATTTATCCATTGGATAGCATTATCCACCTTTTGCATGAACAACCGCGGCCAGAACTGACAATACTATTATTCTTTACAGCCCTGTCACCTTAAGATCTTGCCTTGACAAGTTACATACTTTGAAGCTGTAGTTAAGTAAAAAGCTAGCTGATCTGTTCTAGGCCAATTCTTTCTGGCTATTTCTCAGAAAAATCATAAAATCAATCAGTGCAGTTTGTAAATTTTTCATTTTAATGTTGAAATAAACTTCTCAATCTCATTAATAATTCATAGAGAAAATACAAAGGAAATTAATGTTCAATGAGTGTTTGAAAATCAGATGAAAAACTGCTCATTTTTGCATCCTTAAGTTCTCCTTCTAAAATCATTTTGTTTGAGAAGTAATGTCAAGTATTCGACACAGCTGTGTTTCATCACCAGATGAAACACCACGAAGTTCGTCAAAAATACTCCGCTGTGCGTCATATTTTTAACTCTCTTCTTGGGGTTTCATCTGAAGATGAAACACTGCGTCTCATGCTTGATACATTACTTGTCTTGAACTTCTTGCCTAACCAGTTCAGAGAGCCCTAATTTCATCTGAAAAAGGTTAGTTGTACTGGTAATACTTTAAGTAACTGGTTGACTACATGTATTTTAAACCCAGTTCCAAAAGCAGAGAAGTAGTTACCTACCTAAAGACAAAGTCCTTGCAGGTGAAGGAGAGTTGTTGTCCCACACTATCTCTAGAGATTGATCAGAGAAAGAGTTGTTAAAGCTGCTTGCAGCAGGGAAACCACAAGGAAAATGCTGCAGTCTCCTGACTGGAGTTCTAGGAGGAAACCCTGCAAAACAGAATAATAACTGGAACTTGTATCAACCACTATATATGGCTAGATTGCAGCTGCAACCAGATGGCACCATACACCTGTAAATGTAGACTCAAAGGCACTTACATTATGTCATCTGGTGTTGAATAAATTGAATAATTTAATTTTGTACAAAAAAAAAATAAGCAGGGCATCAACACAACTACTGGTGCAGCTTGCAGACGACTCTGTAAAAAAAATAGCTTCACATGCACTTTTGAATATGCAAAAAGATCACAGAATATGCACAAAGATCACAGAATATGCACAAAGATCACAGATACCTTGTATTCAGTATGCACGACAGTCATTTAACGGCCAGGGATTTCCCCTGACTACTAAGAAAATGACCCCCAGTTAATTTCATAAGAAAACAGAAGAAAACAAGAATTTGAAGATATCCCTAGCTGCCTGATTCCCAACCTACTTGTTGTATTAACCTGACAACTTGAAATCCTAGTGACAGCCCTGCATTAACAACAGACCTGGATTAATCTTAATCATAAAACAGATCCTCCCACACCCGACAGTTAACCCTAATTTCTAGAAACTCCAGTTGAAAGAACATGAAAGTAGCCTCTAACTGTTGGTGAAACTGTGATTTAGTTTAAACAGTAGATTACCACATCTGTATTGCTACATGAATAAATGTTGTTTTGTGCCATGGTTTTGTTTTGTTTCTTTTGTCTACGTGCCTTATCATGTTGCGTGACTTTTCATGGGGATCTTAAAAGCAGAAGAGGGATTTAACTGGACAAAGCCCTATTTCTGTCTGCTAAAAAGAGGCCACTGCAATGACACAGGAATTTAAATTCCTGAGACAAGACTACAAGCTCTTGTTTTCTCCCATTCCCCACCCAAAGCCCCCCAGAGAGCTTGCTAGCAGCCTATCTGCCTGCCAATGATTGGCTCACCAATAAATAAATAGAGCTCAAGATGTATTCAACTCTTTGGACAGAAATTTAGATTTTTTCGTCATATCGACCAAGTGTCGTCCAAATATCACCTGATAGTATTGACCAACACTCAACCAAGGGGTGCAAAATTTAATACACAAGATCCTAACAATTTTTAGCAGTGCGACGACCCGGGCTCGGGGGGCACTCCCTCATTTGGCCTATACGGGTATGTGCCGCTGAACAGGGTATGGTTTTCAAGGTCTTGAGTCTTAAACAGGGTGTAGAATTTCATTATTCTTTTAGAGTCACGAAAATAATAACATTTTAGGCTTCAATAACATTATTCTTGTTCTCATAACTAACTAATCGTACTATTGCCTTTCCACAGGAATGATGTGGATAAAAATCCACACTTAAGCTTACTTTTGATGCGATGTGGCTCGCGTTTTCATATTTCGGAATGAGGACACGCTATTTACATTAGTTTGACGTCAACGAAACTTTCAAAAAGTTGCATTGTAATGAGGCACTTACATTTTAAAGTTAATTTATTTTATATAATTTATATAGTCTTTAGTTTATAGGATAAATACAATCTTATCGTTTGAGGTTCAGCGAAGCTACCGTGGTGCTTAATCAATAATTTACCTGACTCATTTCCACGCCCTTGCGTTTTATCAGTTGATCGCCTTTTTCTCATTTGAAAACACTCTGTGATATTCATATTTCAGATATGAAGCCATTGAACTCTACCATACTCCTTTACTCAACGGGAAAAGACAGTTTCAGAAAGATAAACACAGTTCATGGCCACATTCTTTCAGCATACCGTGCAAATATGGCGGCAGATTTCGAACAATTTGCCTCGATTTCACGCAACGTTTTCATTGGTCTCCAAGGGCCGGTTTCCAATGAAGCATGAACGCGTGGTGTACTTGCGTGAACTTCTGAAACTCGCGTGTTCAGAACTATATGGATGATCCCCAGGGGCCCCACTCACATATTTTAATGACGGGGGGGTCCGACAGAGGTTCATATTTTATACCCAAAAAAATCCCAACTTCAGAATTTGTCGACCCAAAAAAATCCCTCGGTGTTTTTGCATCAGCAAATTTTATTATTTATCTTCTGGAAAGCTAAAACATGCCAACTTCAACTTTGGTTTTTTAATTTGGTCAAAAACAAAACTATAAATTGCGCTTATGTTATTGTTGATTTGAGCTGATGAAAAATACAATACCCAAAAAGATCCCTGTGTTGTTTTCGCGACCCAAAAAAATCTCGGCGTCTTTCATAGACCCAAAAAAATCCCTTTTGGCCGAAATGCCAGACCCAAAAAAATCCTTCGGACCCCCCCGTCATTAAAATATGTGAGTGGGGCCCCTGGGGGATGATCGAAGGATCTTTTTGGGACTTTTTGGGGTAGGAAAGTATGGCAGGTATTTTTTTGAGTGGCCTGTTCGTTTTTCTTTTTTTTTTTCTTTTAGGTAGGGGTTTTTTGGGGTATGGATCGTTTTCACTGTCACGCAACAAAAAAATAAATTGACAATTGGAAACCATATATCTTATTACAGGACGCGCGAGCAGAACATGCGAAGGGGAGAGGAGGCCAGCTCCTCTCCTTTTCTCCCCTTGCACTTCCTCTTCCTCTGCCCTAAAAGAAATGGTGCCTGCATGAAAACAAGAACGGTACCAATGTCGTTATCCTTGTTTTTTTTTTTCGCCATGTTTTTAATATATTAGTTGCAACAGCTAAATAAATTGAGAAAATCTATCTAAATTTTATTTTTGTCAATTACACGATTGTTTTGATTTCTTAGCCTGTGTAGCAAGCATTCCGTGTGGTTTCAGGGCAAAGAACGAGGAACAAGATCCCGCGAAAAAAGGCTAAAATCAATTATCCCGTTCCTTGTCATTCCTTGGTCATTCTTAGCTCTGAAATCACGCGGAAATGCTTGCTACGCAGGCTATGGATTTCTCTCCTTTCTTGTTTTGTGCCTTGTCCTTTCATTTGGTCTTCATAAGACAAATGGGATAAGAGCACGTCGAGACTTTGGATAATCCTCAAACTTGTCCAAATACCATCTACAAAGCAAAACAAAAACATTTTGGTATGAAATAAAATCAGCAGACAAACAACAGTGAAAACAACTTGGTACTGCAAAAACTGCTGGTCAAACCAAAAGGTACGTCATCACCACAATCAACCTTATCGTTTCTCTTTTATATGATTCATCAATTCATGTATTATGTTTTTTGATGATGTGCTCTTGAGTTTCAACAGTCTTTGACTGTATTTACATATGACCGCAAAATTTTTCTCTTTCGTATGCATGATGGTATATACCAGGCGTATACCAAGTTATTAAATTTTTGTGCAGAAAAATTTCATCAAAAATTTTTTTTCAAATACCTGTGGTGCTGAATTGCCCTTGGACCAATGTTAAGAGCAGTAAATGTTGCAAATGCCAGGCTAGGAAGAGACCAACATGCCAGTGCAAATCCAGACCACTCAATAATCTCACCAAAGAAGTTAGCCCCAGAAACATAAGTGAACATACCACCTATTAAAAGAGAAGAGTAGCGAAAAATATTGGAATTTACTTGGCTTTTGAGGCAGAGACTATTTTCCACATACTCCACCTTATGTAATAAGGGACCATTCATTATTTATACCAGGGAGTGGGCTGGTAAGATCCATCAGAAAGCACAACAAAACATCTTGACCCGTTCAAAGGAAAACTAAAAAAAAAAAACTAAAAAAAGGCATGACCCCTCTAAATGTGCTTTTAAAATCTGGCTAGCCCTCCCCCCGCCCCAAAAAAAAAAAAAAAATGCATGTAAGAACAAAAATACAAAACCCAAGCTATGATTATTGAGTGTTTGAATTAGTCTACATCACTATATCGAACTGATCCTTTTCACCAAGGGGGTGGGGGGGGGGGACTCCGCATATGAAAGGGGTGGGGATGCTCATCAGAAATTTTGAATTAAACTCCTAAAGGAGACCGATCTGGGCAGGGCCCAAGCTTTTTTGACCCCTAAAAGAGACTATGTTAAACCACAGACAATATATATATTTTTATGTTTTTTCGTGTGCAACCCTAAATGAGACCTTCACGGGTAAATATGATGGCGTTTTGCCCAGAACACCCTAAGTGAGACCAAAATCCGAAATTTATACCCCTAAGCGAGACAACGAGCATCCCCACCCCTTTCATATGCGGAGTCCCCCCCTTCCCCCGAGTCCTTTTCATCCTCAGTGATATACTCTGCTCTCTCTCCTGTGCTGGAACTATAATAAATAGAAAGGGAATATAAAGTTGTCAATAGACGATAGCTGCAAGGATCGATAGTTCTTTTCAAACTTTTTTTGTATCAGAAAAACCAAGTGAGAGTTTCTTTTTCATTCCAGAGTAAAGAGTATTGGTCAAAGATAAGACATTGATAAAAAACGAACCAGGCTTATAGAACATAAAAAAAGTATAGATTTCCGTGAAGCCCACTTCCAGCGAGAGGCAACCCTCTACAGAATGCAAGTCAGACAGCTGTGTAGATTAACTGGGACATTTTATTTCATGCTGGTGAAATTCAGCAGATAAAGGTAAAAAAAGGATTTATTTCATTTTAAACTTTCACTAAAAGGCAAGATAAAAAGAAATATCATTTCATAGAAATTGTGACTGTTTTCTTTATTAGCTTTAAACTACCAGTTATGTACTGTTAGCCTTTAGGAGGCTTGCAAACCATGTACCGTTAGTCCAGAGCGCACTGGAAGTATTTGTTTGAAAATAAACCAAAAATAAAAATTCTGGTAGCCCCCCATCTTTGTGTGCAGATTTATTGATGACCCCCCCCCCCCCACCTGACTGTCCTGAATCTGACTTGGCCCACCCCTCATTCTTGCCAGCCCAACCCCTGGAATAAATAATGAATGGTCCCTAATATTATACTAACTTTGCAGCATACATGTATTTGTGTGAGTTTCATATTGACTTGACATAACCTATACATCTCGTGCATTGCACACATCTGATGTAATAAAGCTAAGCGGAAAACATAAAACAGACTCAGTTGAAGTAGGGTCTTAAATACACTAAATGTGTAGGTTCCAGAGCATCTAATTTAATATTATAATAGTAACAATAATAATGATAATAATAATAATAATAATAATAATAATAACAATAATAATAATAATAATAATAATAATAATAATAAAACATGAAAAATATCAAGACTTAGCAAGGGAAATATCTAGACTTTGGAGAGCGAAGACAAAAGTAATACCAGCTGTTGTGGGAGGTCTAGGAGGAGTGATACCGAACAACTTAAAGATGCACTTGAAAGAAATCGGAATTACATATAGGTTCAGAACTTTGCAAAAGTCTTCACTTCTTGGAATGGTCACCATATTGAAAAAGGCCTTTGAAGTCTAAGGTCTAGGGACATGACAGAGCTAATAGTGGAAAATATTGTTGTTTCCAGGACAGTGAATACCTGTGCAAATTAGAGATGTTAATTTGCAGTTGCTTAAATTGCAACAGCCACTGTCACAATCATATCTTAATTTAAATAACAACAACAACAACAAGTTACAACAACAATAACAATACTAATAATAGTAATAATAATAATAATAATAATAATAATAACAACAGTAATAATAATAATGATGATGATGATGACGTTGATAATATGGAATATTTTAACAGGATAAGAAAACCCATCACTATAAATCATTATCACTGTTTTTTACACCAGCTTCACATAATACAAGTGGTACAAGCTATTTGCTAGGCAATCAAAATGTTAAAAAAAGAAACTTACCTTTTGGAATTTTGTAGCCTGTCTCACCAGGTTTCCTCAGATTACGCAAAGTGTGATCAGAGTGAATATTAATTGCCATGCCTGTGACAAACAATACTACCCCACTGATAAAGATTGGACTTGACAGCCAAGAATTCTTGTAAAAAGCAAATTTACTCAAGTATCTTGCCTGTAGGTAGCCATTTAACATACAAAAGACAAAAGCCATGGATGAGAGCAATACAGGGGTTGGTTTGCCACCTTTAATGAGCCAGGGATAAATCAAAGATCTGAAAATGAGAACAGCGAGAAGGTTTGGAGAGACAGGCTCTGACGTCAGTTGTTTTTATTCATTTTTTAAAAAGCCTTTTGTGGCTCCCCCTGAAATTTTGTCAATGAACTTGAAGGGTGCAATATTTCAAGTGCAAATAAATAATTACCCCAAATTTGGTAATTTTTCATTTTTTTGCCATAGGGTAGAGAAAGGGCTCTTAGGTAAGTCTGAAGCTAAAAGAAATAATATTAATAGTATTAATATCAATAGTAAAATTATTTATAGTAATTAAAGTGCAGAATTTCAGAAAATTAATTTCAGAGCTTTAAAAGAACGAGACAAATAACAAATTCACAATTTTCTTGTTATTTAGTGAGAAGCAAATAAGTATGAGGTTATTCCGCATCTTTCCGGAGACTGTTTGACAGTCGGTTATGTAATCTGGTTGAGTAATAACACTGACAGCAAGACTAAAATTTGGAATTGTGGGAATTATTACTGGCTGGAAGATTTTAGTACATACCACTAACCTGTGAGTATAATGTGATAAGTATAATAAGAGAAGAAAGGCATTTGGCGTTAATCCGAAGACGTCTTTGCGAGCGAAAAAGAGCAACACACAGGGTACAACAAAGGCTGGTAATTCTTGAACAAACCAAGCAATTTTGGGGTTCACTCCAAATCCGTACTTTTGCGATGAACTCGCTGAGAAATATCGTCCATATTCGGCTTTTAGAAAAATTAAGCAAAAAGCAACGATAACTGCTGTAACTATCATCACAATGGATGTAATGTAAATAAGTTGTGGCTCATTCAAATCTAACACAAGGTTGACGGAGGACGCCATCTTGCAGAAACGGATTAGTATGTCATGTAAATCTTCACATACTGTCCCGACTTTGGCGGCCACAGTATGTCGGGGAACTGGGTGGTTACCAAGCACCTCGGCGCGAAATTGAAGTGAAAACAACAGCAGTCCGAAGAAGACTAATCTCTTGGGGTTTTTGAGTCATGAAGCTCGAAATTTATAACCAGATATTGACCCTGATGCATACCTATGGCTCAAGAGATTGTTTAAAGACGATAGCCTTGCAGTTTCCTGGGTAAGTGCCCTCTGTAACGCGAGTTCTCCTCCAAAGACTTGTAAAAAGCTTAAAGGTGATGGACGAGTAAAGCTTAATATCGCGTCTGAAAATTGCTGAAAAAAAGGGAAATAATTTTGGAGTAAGTTGCGGGCGCTCATGAATTTCATATATTTTTGTATAATCTTATATAAGAAAGCAGCCCGGAACAGTTTCATGAATTGAGAAAGCTTGTTTTACAAGTCCAATCACTTAAATGAGTCAAGTCATGATTCACGATCAGCTGGTCTGGGTTAAGCACAGGTGGCACAAGCGTAATACGAGAGTTTGTATGGGAAAAATAGAGTTTGAAACTTAGATAAAATAAATGAAATAAAAGCGATAAAAGTTATCAATAAAGTGTAAATATTGTTATCGAGTCGAGTTGAGCTCGAGTCGTTGTCTTTGTTTTTACGACGTTTCAGCGCGATTTGAGTACTTTTACATCATCTGACCTGACAGTGTAATTATTGATAACTTTTATCGCTTTTACTTCTTATTTCATCTAAGTTTGAAACTCTATTTTTCCCATACAAACTCTCATATTACGCTTGGGCCACCTGTGGGTTAAGCACTGAAAATAGCTGCAAATAGTTTTGACGGTAGAAATTAGGGTTTAAATACTGATAATAGCGTTTTGGATTAAGCTCTCGCTACAGTGATGAGAGTTAACCACTGACTCAAAGTGGTTGGTATTTATTGAGGTTTAAGGGCCTTTCCATATGAGTCCTGTTACCTGGACCAATTTCGCCTTGGGTTCATAAATTTCAACCCGGTTTCCCAGCTGAGGAAAGGTCACAGATCCTGGGGACGAGCTCTGACGCAAAATTCAAAAAGCAAAGCAAATATGGGGAAAAAATATAACTTTTGCACCAATCATAGCTTTGGCAACTCTTAAAGCTGCATCAATGCAGTTAAATGGGATACTTATGATGGGGAAAATACAGCATTCAATGCAAGATGATGCCATCCGCGCTGCCAGAATTCACCCTGCTATCCGGGTTGAAGTCTTAATACGACAAAATTTGCAGCTCACTTACTGAGATCCTGTTTTGGAAAAACCGAAATCTCAGGAACCAAGCCAGCCGATCCTCTCATATGAACCTATTGAAAATTTTTTAAGGATTTAGAGGTAAGGTGAACCCGGGCCGGCCCAGTCAACTGGGCTCATATGAAGGGGCCCTTAGTTTGTCACTAAAAGTACTGTATATTTATCAAAACAGTTACTGGCAATAAATGCGGGAGATTCGATTTTTTTTACTCCACTCATTAACTCATCAAATCATTAAAACTTTATTCTCTCTATTTTTATTGTGATTGCCCTATGGATGAGGCAGATTCCTACCACCTTGCCTTTTCATAGGACCCTTTGAAAATTTTTTCCTATCCCCTTCTTGTGGTCTTGTGAGGACTCTCATCCACTGGGCCTTAGGCAGTTTATGCAAAATGTGTGTATGTGTTAATGTATGTATTATAATTTAATTATTGTCATCTGTTCAGTGCTTGTAGAAGTTGATTGTGTGGCCTGAATGAAAATGAAATTTTCTAATCTTTAATGAAAAACATGCCCTTTTGTACTCAGCTTACTGCCCAGAATGTTGCAAATCACATGTTAGGGTTTTCAGGGGAACTTAACCCCAGATCCCCCTAGAAGGAGGGAACTAGAGGCACTTGTTGATACAATAGGGTGTTCATTAGGCTTGGAGATCGGAAACTTCTCCATTTACTACACAGAATTCTTTAGCTAACTTGTGATAGCCTATGACTATTTTTTATTCAGGCATGGAGCCTCTTTCACAATATTCTCCTGTAAAGTTACACCTTTCTCCTGCTAATAGAAGTCTTAGTGAAAACTCTAATACAGTTTGTTACTCTTTTTAAACTGAGATTTAAAATTTTGTGTCAGAACATTTGAGGACTGGTTAGAACCCTTATGTTGACTGAATCAAGGTTTTTCTGTTGCATATTAAGTGTAGTTCAGTTTCACTTTATTTTCTTTCCTAGAGTTACATACAATACCCTTGTCAGTATTTACTCACAGGATTATCAGGTAATTATATAATACAGATGAAAGGTCACTTGCTATATTAAAGTGGTTCAAATTGAACTTTTATACCACTGACTTACCAGAGATGAACACCTTTTTCACATTCTAAGGGTGTCTACTTACAAGAGCTTCCACTGTACCCTGTTATAGGCCTATTGTCAGGTGTAATTACTCTGTGAAATACATATACCTCTACCTTTAAGCCTTGACTGGAGACAAGCAACCTACACATGTATTATTGGTACTTATTATTCCACTATTATGTCATTTTACCATATAAGGTCAAGAGAACAAGCAAATTACGAGGCCGTAATACACCGTAGTGTCCTGGTTTAACCGGTTTACAACAGGGCGAATACCAGCGGATGCAAAAGGAGCAACTGTGGCTGACAGAATCAGGATGTTTTGGATACTCTCATTAGAAAATAGAAGCCAAAATACCATTTTTCTTTTGCAGTAAAATAATTAACCTCTCATTCGATGGTTTGGCATATAATACGCGTGAACATTTTGCTAATTGTTAACGTCATTCTCACAGACAGAATCAAGATGTCTCTGAATACTCTTACCAAAAAATAGAAGCCAATTGCCAGATAATTTTTTTTTTGTAGTGGAATAATAAACCTCTTATTCGATGGTTTAGCATATAATTAGTATTATATGCTAAACCATCGAATAAGGTGTATATATTTGTCCCTAAATAATTCAGTCATGCCATCTTAATATACACTCTATGACTATGTTACTTTGGCAGAAAAAAATGCGTAAGAACCATCACAAGCACCACAAGTTAGAAGTAATGGAAAATTACTATCAAAGGTAATTCAGCATTTATATTGCATGGTTGTTTTACATTGCTTGTCATTTATCTGTGTAGGTAATTAACCTTTTTTTTTAATTGTGTTTACCTGTAGATATTTGGCAGGAGTTGCTCAAGAGTCCACAGAGCCAGTTTTGTTAAGGATTGCAGAAGAAGTGGATTTGTCACACTCACTGCTGGCAAGAATTGTGTTAGAGAGACATCTTTCCCACACTTGTTTTGATGGAGAGAACCGTGAGTCTATAATGTCTAGATTTAATAGGCCATTTCTGAGTTCTGGACAATAACCCTTACTTTCAAAATGAGGCTAAGTGCAAAACCTTTTTTATGATAATGAGTTACATCTGGATGAGAATAACAAAATTAATCATTTTCACATCAATGTCTGTTCGCACTTAGCCTAGCTTTGAAACAGAGGCTTCAGGTAACTCTGAAATGGCCTATTTGCAGATGCAGTTGTGGGAGAAAATGAGGATGTTAGGATGGATCATGTGTTCTATAGGGCGCACAGGTCTCAATTTATTTATTGAAAAATGATGTTTATTTGTTTCGTGGTATGAACATCTATAAGGCAACTAGTAATGGTAGATTCCAATTTGCAGCTTTTGCACACAAGATTCTCTGATGCTCATTTCTTTTAAGAGACCGTTTTTAATACTTTATAATAATTATTGTATAAATGGATGAAATGGATAATGCCATAAACTAAGTGGATAAATATATAGCGTCACGTGGCCAGCATCTGTGCAAATTTATTGGAACAAAAGAAAATGTTTCATAAGAAAAGATTTCAACTCCCACAGGATTTATTTGGGACACCAACGTGGCCACTGTTTCATTGTTTTGGGACAACAATATGGCCGCCGTGATGTCATGTGAAAACGCTCTGTATGTCTGTTCAGAGGACAGTAAGCCCTTCCAAGTAACGCTTGTCTTATCCCCTTGGGCCAGATCGATAAACAGTACTGTTACCTGCCCATAAAAAATTTTCAAAAGCACTAATTCTCCCAGTTGTTTCATGATTAAACTCCAGCCACTTTGATACATGTACCCTGAGGCTTGTTGATACCCTCATCTAACATGTCTCAACTTCTCTACAGGATAATGTTTCTGGATTTTTGATCTCTTATTACAGCTCCCAGAGCTGTTGTTAGTCAGATGATGAAAGACCCCCTCACCCTCATAGAGGATAAAACTCTTGCCAATGAAGTGCACCAGGTAGTAATAGTTTTAAGATTCTGCTACTAATTAGACAAATAGGCAAAGATTCCAATTTTATGGCAGTTTCCCATGTCAAAGAGTATCTTATTTGTAACCATGTGAAAAGATGGTCAAATGGGCCCTATCCTATCACGTTTTTGATATATAAAGCAGTATGGTACTGATTATATAATTATGTAGCAAAAACATGATGAAAAGAATAGGATTACCTATTTATAATAGTTATTCTGCGACAGGTGTTTTTTTTGGAGTGCTCAGCAAGAAGGCTGGTACATGTACATGACAGCATGATAGCTCACCTCCTGCTCAACCAGCTTTAAGGGTCATACCAGCAGTGTTGCTGGAATAGGCCGAGTAAAGGGTGGTGATGTTAGTTTTTATCAGCCAAGGGTCACATCATCACACTGGAGGGTTCAGTGTGTTGCCTCTCATCATGTTCGATTTACTGGCTATTAAATAGATACATCTTTTGTGCCTAAAAATTTCTAAGGCATTCAGGGCATTTAAGGATCTCCTTCAAATGTAGATGAGAAGAGCAATATGTTGAGTGATCAGTATCAAATATCTCGTTATGATATCAATGCTTCATAAGGCAGAGAGGAAATATGGACAA